ATCATTAGAACCAATATTGTTAAAGACTTTAGAGACATATACAAAGAGTGTCAATTGCCGTTAAAAATACATATTTAATTATAATTAAGAATTAAATGTAGTTAATGATCATATTTGTTGTAGTGGATTGCTCCATAAACAACTAACTTTAGTCTTAAAAAGAGACACTTAGTTATAATTTTTTGCTTAACTATCCAATATTTGGTATTCCATACGATAAAAAAATAAATCTAACTTCACCAAAGTTACATAAAAGTTTACATGATTAGTGTAACTTGTCATCCATATGTCTAGTGAGGATACTAGATATTTATAAGTTTATATTATATCTACTATAAATTTTTGTATTCATATTAAAGTTATTTTTTGAATAATTAATGAGTAAAATATTAATCTATTTTTAAAAAAATTTATATATCAATATTGACTTCACACGAAATTATAAATAAGCGTTAGTATTTTTATATGAAAACTTAAAACACAAAATACGTTATTTTTTCTACATTAAATTAAAGTAATAAAAGTAGTCCTATTCTTATCGTAAAAACAAGTTGTACTTATTTTTGTGGTTGATGACTACCAAGATTGATCTAATTATAAAGTTACATTCACATTGTAGTTGTGTCCTTAATTAATTATATTAATTAATTTCACCTTAATATCTTTTTCTTTTCCTAAAGAATTCTCCAGCCTCTAAATGACCAATTTGATCGTGTGGGTCCATTCTTGTCAAAGTGCAATCCACGACAGCATTATACTAACTTGGACCTGCCGTCAATTGTTAGGTCTCGATTCAAAATATTTATCGTAATTTTTTATTATTATAAGTATAAAAATGGTATTAATTGAGATTTTTTTCGATGTTTAAAATAGATTAGCTTATGTGTATATATTATTTCATCAGAAGTGAAATCAGAGTTTTAAATTTATAAATTTTAAATTTTAAATTTTTTAAATTTATCAAATTCTAAATAAAAAATTTATACGTATTTAATGAACTTCTACCTATAAAGTCTTTGAACATAAGATTACTTGATTCAGTCGAATTCCTATCAAAAACATTGACTCTGCCTCTGATTCTCATATCTCATTTTCCGTATTTAACATTGTAGATAAGATAATTATGCATTTCAACCCTTCAGGCAAAAACTTACTCACATTCGATATAAATTAAACTAATGCAATTTTCATAATCACGTGATTTAATAAATGAAGTTTATGCTATATATGCAAATGCTGGTGTTTTTTTCTTTTACCTTTCTTTCTTTTTTAGGCCACATACATACGCAGGTCCCTAAAGTTGTTCGCGTTTTTCCCTCATGTATCTCAACTAACCAAGATTCCTATTAAATCTTTTAACCCCATATAATTTGATCCTTTTAAATATTTCTTGGCTGATGTGGAGCCAAATTTTAATAAATTATTTTTGGTAATTAGGCGCGTGAGATGAACCTTCCCCACGTGGAAATTTTGACCAATACACTCCAACCCAATTACACTTCAGTGCCATATATTAAGTCATCAAACCTAAAAATTAATTTCCCCCCAAATCACTTCTAACCCGTTTCTAAACGAGAAAACCCTAAGAATCTCTCCCTTTCAATGACTTTTACAGCAAAAATTTTTAGATTTTAAAGTGATTTCGAGTGTTTTGTTGAAGGAATTATCGAAGATTGCAGACGATTTTGGAGAAATAATGATGAAGAGAAACAAAAGAGGAGAAATAATGGAAGAATGGGAGAATTAGGGTCAAAAGGGGGAAGAAGATCGTCGGTGGGTGGTTCAAGATCCACATCAGCGCTTTTAAAGAGCCTGCACGCGCTTAAAGGACGTAAGATCACGTTTGGCTCCACATCAGCCAAGAATATTTAAAAGGATCAAATTATAGAGGATTAAAGTATTTAATAGGAATCTTGATTAGTTGAGGTACCTGGGGGAAAAGCGCAAACAACTTTAGGGACATGCTATGTATTTGGCCTTCTTTTTAGGTACTTAATTTATTTTACTTTAGATGTTTCCCTGAAATAACATGGATATATAGTGCAATATCTTTGTAATTAATAAAGTCCTAAAGTAGCATTTATTATTTTATAAAGTTGCATATTTGACTTGAGACCTCTTAAGTAGAGATTGGTAAGGACCCAAAATGACATAAGTATTGATGCTTGCCCAATGGACATGTTGGGCCCATTACATTTTCTTTCTTCCCAAGGGCCCATTACTTTTCAAAGGATCAAATTAAGAAAATGAATTGTTTATTTATTATACAATTCTTTTTCTAGCCTTATTTCCACTACACTACTACCAATAGAAAGAAAATGTAAGAAATTACGGATTAAAAAGTAATAATATTCCAAGTTTTAGTGCTTAGACTACTATGAATTAAAGAATTATGAAATATATTACTCTCTTACCCTAATTTACGTAATTCACTTTGACTAACTAGAAGAAAGAAAATTAAGAAATATCAAAATTTCAGGTCGAAATTGAGTTCTTGATATTTTTTATGCCAATAAATCATCTCATAAAGGGGGTAAATGAGAAATATGATACCGAGAAGTCATATATAGATATTAGAAAGAGTATTACAATGTGGAAAGTCGAATCCTCACCAACAAAGAGAGAATTCAAATAGTGAATCAATTAAAATACTAAGATTCACCGGACAGTCGTAGTTCATATATAATTTAGTTATAATTAACGGTTTGGTTAATGAAATATTCATTCAATTTGGAATTTTAACGTACATTAGGCTGAGATTCTACATAATTTATACTTGGGCTTTTTGATTAGTTTTAAATAACTGAGAATCCAATTCCATTTAAAAAAAAATTGGACATGTTTTTATTTCATGATTCTTTTATACAAAAAAAATATATACAATTCTTCAACTTTTGTTAGGTGGAAATTGGAAAATTAGACAGTTTATGGTGGAAAATTATATACTTCTTTATCCTTATAATATTATATTTTTGAATTTGAGTCTCAAGTATAATGCCTTTTTTTTGTTAGAAAATATTTTATCTTTATATTTAATCTTTTAAAATGGATTCAAATATAATCAAACATTAATAGAAACATCAAGAATCAAACACTACTAAATGGAATATTTTTAAAAATAGACAAGTGTTTAATTAACAGGAATTGGTCTGTTGGTCTCCATATAATTGGCCAAACATGGAATCTTGAAAATCTTTTTATTCAGAACTTTCAAATTTTTATAATTATGATTCCCATCTTGTGATACACTTTTAAGATTTTATTGTACGGACTCTGTAAATTCATATGATTTGAAGGAATAATCTAACTATGGTTGATAATTAAAATTCTGATTAAGCTTATGATTAATACAAATATAATATTTTAGTTAAAATTATTAAATTATGTCGAATTTCTAATTTCATAATATTTTTATTGTAGTTTAGCTCTTTGTAAAAGATAATATCACATTAAAGTAAAAATATATTATTTTTTCACACTAACAGAATTAAGTAAACTTTACCCTTTCACATTATTACTACCCTTCTACTTGAAGCACAATATTATTCCAAATCTTATATTTAATTTGTAGAGATCATTGTACACTTGCATGAAAATTTCTTCTTTTTCTCTATTAGTGTTGGATATCTATTTTGAGTCTCGATTAATATAAATTTGCATAGATAAGTCTCACATGTGTATTTTATTATAAAAAGCTTCAAATTCAAAGCTCTAACCTTTGATGATATATAAAGATCTCTTCTTCTGTTTTCTACTCGATGCTTCATCTCCGTCTTTAGACCCAACTAATTTTGAATTTGCATCGATAAGTCACACGTTAAGAGGAATATATTTTCTACTGTAAGAAACTCTATCTCCAGAGCTTTAATGGTACATAAAAATCTCTTAGGCATAAGAGCAACTAATTATTTTTTCTACCAAAGCCTTTTTAGGACCCTTTGGGCTAAAGCAACAAAATCTTGAAAACCTTAGGTCATCTTTTTTTCTTTGTTAACTAATAAAAGCTTTGGTTCACATAATGAAAACTTTATGTCAAAGTGTGATAATGATCTATAAAAATTTTGGTTTGTAATTTTTTTTTTGTCTGCTGACGTTGCTTTGGTTGCAAAAAGTGAGTAATTAACCAATGTGATTTAGCCTACTATAAAAGTTACTACACATAACTTTACTTAAGTTGGACCAGTTACACAAATATCTAGTGATAGATTTTCATAAATTCTACAAAAAAAATTCATCCAAAATTATTAAGAAATGGAATAGGAAAGTATATAGAGTAGAAGGATTATATGGAAGTCCAAAAGTAGGCATATCCTTGATTTTTTTTCATTAAATTTTTTTAAATAATAATAATAATAATGTAGTCACTATAGCTCTACCAGCGAGGTCTAATTATATATTCCATTTTAAGTTATGTATAACGGAATACTTTTAACCATTCTAGTAGATAACTTATTTTAATTTTTCTTCACGATTATGAATTTTATATTTTAAGAGAACTTGTTTATAAATATTCTTTTAGTGATCTAATAAATGAAGAAAAAAATGATTCTACTGACTAATTAAAACATAACATAATATACATTCCAATACAATAATATTCCACATTTGCACTCTTTCATTTTCCACCCTTTTAACTGCTAAGAGTGTTTTCTTTCTCATTCTGATAATTCACATAACCAAAAACTCCTTTACCGTCATCAAATGATATGATATTAGTAGATTAAGTTATTCTTTTTTAAATAGAAATTTTGATTGCGAATATTAGATATAAATTCTCTTTGATAGAGAGTATTTAATTTCCTCAAATGAAAGATCAAGCTTTAATACGGATATCAGAAACGAAACAAAATACCCCGCCCCCCAACCAAAAGAAGCATGCAATAGTTGATTACTTGTTTATTTTATGGAAATTAATTAATAGTAGTACTACAACTAACTATTAACACACCCAACACCAATCCCCATCACTCTTCTTCTATTTATAGCCTTTTATGATCATCTCATAAACTCCCTTTCTCTCTCTAAACAAAAACACCTACACAAAATATAAATATATCACTTAATAGTTTCTCACCATTCAATATTTTTCTCCATATATAATGTCCTCAAAATTATCAGTTTCTTCTTCCTTCATTCTTTTCATCTTCATTTTCTTCTCCAACAACAAAGGTACGTGCAATATTTTAAACTTAATTATATATATACCGCGTTTCATATAATCATCATATTATTGATGATTTCAAAAATAACATCTACTTCTACGAGATAGGAGTAAGGTTAATCTGTTTATACTCTATCCTCCTTAGATAATCGTATTTGTAGAACTAGGAGAATAATCGTATTTGTAGAACTACACTGTACGTCTAATTTGGATTATTTTTTTCCTCAGGAATTGATGGTACTACTTTTAATTTAATAAACAGATGTGATTACAACGTATGGCCCGGAATATTAGCCAATGCAGGTAGTGATAAACTGGATAGTACCGGGTTCATACTTGCCCCGGGTGATTCACGGGTATTCCAACCTCCACAACAATGGTCGGGTCGGATCTGGGGTCGAACCGGTTGTAATTTCGATCCCAACACCGGTCAAGGAAATTGTGCCACCGGCGATTGTAGATCAAACCAAATAGAATGCAATGGCGCCGGAGCAACTCCCCCAGCCACCCTCGCGGAATTCACGATTTTCTCAGGTACATTGAATTATACGATCATCTCATTCAAAAACGATCATGCAAGTACGTAAAAAAAATCATAGTAAAATTTAAATTATATTTTCAACAGGTGTAAAGCAAGATTTCTACGATATTAGTTTAGTTGACGGATACAATTTACCAATGGCAATCCAAGCGGTTGGCGGGTCGGGTTCATGCGATACGACGGGTTGTGTGAAGGATTTGAACCGAATGTGCCCGAATGAGTTACGGGTCGGGGACGGGCAAGCATGCAAAAGTGCATGTGAAGCATTTGGTACGCCGGAATATTGTTGCAGCGGCGCGTACGGTTCACCTTCCACCTGTAAGCCGTCAAGTTACTCGGCGATGTTTAAAAACGCGTGCCCAAAATCGTATAGCTACGCATACGATGATCCTACGAGTACATTTACGTGTACAGGAGCTGATTATACGATAACATTCTGTCCTTCATTAACAAGGTAAAAATATTAATAAATTAAAAATATCCTTTTTATCGTAATATTATTATTCAGATTTTTATTCTGCGACTTTATTACAATTTTTTATAATTTTTTTTTATCATCGTCGCTGTCCGTTGATTTATTCATAAAGTAATAAAAGTATGTAATAATGACGTGTTATTCTGAATCAAAATTGCTTTTTTTTTTTTTAATTGGAAACACTTTTTTTTTCCTAACTAGCTTTTAGCTCATTGTAGCACAAGGCTGAGTAGATATTACTGTACTACTTTAGAGCATATTTCAAGTTGTACCTTTTGATCTTCGTCTTGATGAAGTGTAAAATAATATTATCTTTTTATTATGTTGAAAAGACAATTTAAATTATAATTAGTGTCAGGTATTTTATTGACTACGACGTTATCTGCTAGTCAAGTTACACAAATTCATTCAAAAAATTTAAAGTTAATTAGTTTATTGAGTGTTCGGTCAAAAATATTTATAAATTTCTGACAAATATTCATATGTTATATATTTTTTGAGGTGGACAACTATTTAAGATGAGTGATTAGTGACATTCGAGGTTGTTAGATTAGTTGTTACTTTTTAATTAAGAAAATTAATAGAATATTAGTGAGAGTATTAAAGAATATAAGAGTAAGTATTAGTTGGCAATTTCTAATATATAGAATCTTTTAGTGGCTTCATTTTGTTATCTTATCTTGAACATTTTGTCTTCTTTTTTTTCCAACCTTTTTCTTCCGTAGAACAAATGAAATAGTATAGCTTCTTTTGATTATTTTTTCCCCCTCAAATGTCCATTTACACTTTATCCTTTTAACTGGATAAACTTGTTAGTGTTACATCACATCAAACGACTGGAAAGCTTTTTTATACAAGTTTTCGATGTCATATATGTATTAACTATCAAACAGTAATCTATCGAAAACAATTTTTTTATCCTCATAAGTTACGTGGTAGGTGAAATGCTGAGTGCACTCCATCTTGTATACAGATTTACTTGTAAAATTACATCAACTATGTTATTATTGTTTAAATATAAAAATGTCAAATTAATGTATTATTGCATGTTAACAACGTGAGTTTCATGCAATAAATTTGGACAATATGAATTATTATTATTTATTATAGATGACATTCTTTTAAAGTAAGATTTAAACCTCATACGACTTTATATATTTGATTGCAGTCAAAAATCTTCGAGAGATTCTTCGCCATTGAACGGCAACGGAAAGGGATTTTCGATCGGAAATGGCGGATCCGGGTCGGGTACCAGTCCAGCGGAGGATCCATTTCCATTTGGCAGTTCATGGTTACCAGATTTTATGACAGGGGACTCATCACAAACAAAATTTTCTAATTTTCACTTAAAAATTGCATTATTTATCTTTTTATTTCTTCACCTTTTATTAATATTTTAATTTTTTCCGATTTAATTTCTATATTTCATGGTGACTTTGAGATATTCACATTTGAAGGAGATCAAGAAAAAAAAAAGGCTGATGATTTTTTTTTCTTCATGTAAAGCACATTTTTATAGGTTTCACATGTATAGAGATTTTAATTTGCAATTTTTTGAAGTAGTAAATATTATTTCAGTGTTCACATTTGCTTTTGTACTACTTTTTATTTTTAAGAAAACATCTATGAACATTTGTAAGATTCAGAAAAGGAGAGAACTTTATTGAATTTTACGTTCTTAGCTTTCCCTAATTTTCTTTAATTTTGTACTCGCTTTGTTTAATAATAAATTGGTGTTTTTATTTATTTTATCTTATTTTGAAAGATAAATGATGTTTCACTTCTAAAAGACATTGGATTTATTCTTTTAATTTAAATTTTAAAAATCTACATAACGGAAAACCTATTACGAATGAGTTAGTAAAAATATGTATTTACTTTTTGAGAATGAACAATTTTTAGTTACGTGCATTCAAATTAAAAATAACACTTATTATAAAACGAGAGAGTACCGTAAACATTGAGAATTGTTTCACTAAAATGAGAGAAAGTACTTAAGCATTTTTCTTTACTTGAGCACAATAGTTGATACTCACGAGTTATCCCTTTGTTTGTCTATCTTAGTTACCAACTCGTTGAAATCGAACAATTACTGATATAAAATAAGATAATACACTACCTATTTACTTTAATAATGTTGAATCGATTGAATTTTTATATATCTATTTAAACTGTGATTAGTTGTGAATTGTGATTATAGTTTGTTAATCATAGAAGAAGATGCTATCTAATGACATATAATTTCCAACTAACTACTAGTTGGTAATGTATACTAAATACACTTCTACCCATCATTTGAGAGCTTTGGTTTGATCTTGGATGCTTCTTGCTTTGATCATTGCTTAGTAAGTATCTGTAAAACTAATTGAGATATGAATAAACTAATTCAAATAAGTGAAAAATCTAAGAATCAAAGTCTTCGAGTCAACTCTATTTAAATTACTAAAAAAGAAGTCTCAAAAAATAAAAGGGTGAGACACTAGTAAAATAATTGAATAAAAAAGTAGAGAAAATATAAAAAGGAAGCAGAAAAAAAGATCCAAGCGTCCAGCTCTAAATTGATGAGCGATGCACTAAGAAATACACTTTTTTTTCACTTTCGGTGTCATTTTCTTCTTAAATTTATAGCATCACCAATCAAACTTCTTCAATTCCCAGCATCTACTTAAAGCTTTATTACGTATAGAATTATTGGATTAAGCTTTAAAATTATTTTGTTAAAATATTAATTTTACCTAAGCAAAAAAAGCAAGACAAACTTTTGGACTAACAACATACGGCTCTTTCTTTTACTTTAACAAAGGGATTTGATCTATTGTTTTACTGTAATAATTCCTTTGTAATTTTATACGTATAATTTATATAACAAAAGAGGAACAATTGGCTAATTAATTAAGTGCGCAGCTTGACAATTTTTTAGACCATATAAGATCCATTTTGAGAAAAACTTACGAGAATGTCAAAGTTAATACCAAATTAGATACCTCTATCTATTATTTTATCATATGATAATTTAACAAAATATATAATCCATTATAATATCAAATTCTCGAAGATATTGTATATCTTAGTCTTGTCAGATGTCATCCAAAGAATAAAAGTTTACAATGCTACACTCTCAACGAGAAGAAAGATATCTTGTCTGACAATCATAATCTCTAATGCACGTCGTTCAACCCGAAATTTATATAGTTCGAAAGAATTACCTTCCAAGAGCTATGTTTGTAGTAACATTTATCGTACGAACAAAACAAATATTAATGATAACTCAAAAGGGCTATTTGTGTAAATCAGCCAGCCACACAATAGTGAAGAACCCCCAAGGCCCATTTTCCTTCACACCACATATATCGGCCCAACCGTTCATGCCCAGAAGCAATGAGCCGAACTTGACGCCTCGTCGAATGACAGGACCATCAGGAAAGTTGATATACGGCTCGCGGGCTCGTTCAACTAATTTATCAATATGATTGAATATATGCTGTATATTTAGTATAATTAATACGAGTTGTCTGATTCATTTTAATCATAAAATTTTTTTGATTTGACACTATCAAATCATGCTCAAGCACTACTTATTTTTCCAGTAAAATTTAGAAAGAAAAACAATTGCAACACGTCAAAAGTTGATTTCCTTAGAAAAACTAGAGCTTTTACCAGTTCCAATTAGGAAAAAACAAGACCTTCCAGATTTGTTACACGGAACGACAAACTCATACACTAAAACAACGAAAATGCAAGACTGACAAAATTCTTTTTAAGTTTAAGACTATGAACTAAACTATTCCTACATTCTTCACGTGTTGAGAAACATACCACAACAACGTGTTGTTTCCGGGAAAAAGGAACATATCTTAGGACACTATCTATAGCTCATCCTTGAGTTCAGACTCATCCGATGCAGACTCCTCTTCTGCCTTGGTTTCAGTCTCAGGTTCTTCAGCTTCGTCTTCTTCTTCCTCAACTGTTGCATCAGGGCTAATGTTTAGACTGCTCTTTACTGAGCTGTAGATGTGGGAGGCAAAATCCTTTGGATCACTCAGATCGAAGCCACTCTCCATTAAAGCTGTTTGGTATATAAGTTTTGCTGTCAACTTCACACTCTCGTCCTGTAAAGCAACAAAATATGAACTCCATGAAACTCCCAAGTAAGTTAGAATTTGACAAAAGATAGAGCATGGCTACACGACATACCTCTGGGTCTGTTACTACTCTCTCCCGAAGTGCCTTGATAATTGGGTGCCTAGGATTGATTTCAAGCACCCTTTTACCACGCATGTATGCTTGCTTGCTTGCATCTGACAGGGTTTGTGAATGCATTATTTTCTCCATATATGCACTCCATCCGTATTTTGATGTTACCACAACACAAGGGGTGTCGGCCAAACGGCTGCTTATCTTGACATCTTCAACGTTGTCACTAGCAAGAGTATTCTTCCACCACTTAGTTAGCCCCTTGAATGACTCCTTGAGCTCTTTGGTTTTCGAATCCTTAAGCTTTAATCCCTCTTTAGACACATTCTGGAACTTTTTGTCTTCATAGTCCATAAGATATTGCATGAGGTATTCATCTACTGGATCGGTGAAGAATATAACCTAGAAAGTGAGAGAAGGCAAATTAGAGAACGAGTTTTCATGGCTAGATTTTATGTATATATATATATATATATATATGAAAATTCAATTATGAATGTATATATATGAGAATTCGATGATGAAGAAAAACATTTACGAATAGTTCTCTAAAATTATGATAAAACTAATAATTTTGTAACCCAAAAGTGGCACAAAAAGGAATTCAGATTTAATCGTTTAAATTGAAATTGAAGTCATACCTCATAGTCTTTCTTATTAAGTCTTTCAAGGAAGGGAGATTTCTCCAACTGTTCTTTGCTGGCACCGGTGATGTAGAAGATATCCTTTTGACTTGATTTCATTCTTGAGATGTATTGGTCAAGTGAAGTTAATTTACCATCTGATTTGGTTCTGTAATAGTGCACATTAAACGAAACAAATTAATAACTGAAAACAAATCGATCAAGTAAAAGACTGAAGGAAAAGAAGAGAGCATACGTCTCAAATCGAAGAAGTTTAGCTAAGCGGTTTCTGTTAGTTGCGTCTTCTATAATACCAAGCTTAATCGACTTTCCAAATTCATTCCAGAATTTGGCATATTGACCTTTCTTCTCATTTTCATCACTGGACTCTTCAACATCTGTAGTGTCATACCCAAGAATGAGATTAGATACTTTTTAGTTAATAAGACAATTTCAAATTTAGGAATATGAATTAGACCTCTCTTCTCCTTGTCATTAGTTTCATCTGGATCCTCTTCGGCAAGTTTGCGGATCATGTCAAGGGCCTTACGGATGAGTTTTTTCTTAATTGTCTTCAAACTGCTGTGCTGCTGAAGCATTTCTCTTGAGACATTGAGGGGTAAGGTGTCAGAATCAACAAGACCCTGGCATAAGTGTCACCACAATCAGTGTTAAAATTCAGATATAAGTTTAAATAGATCAGGATATTTTGTTATAATGCCAGTGAAGTATTAGATGAACTAAAATTACCATTAGGAAATTCAAGTACTTGGGCAACAATTCATTAAATTCATCTGAGATGAAAACCCGTCTGACATATAACTTCAAGTTGGATTGCTTTGTGTTGTAGTAGCTCTCATACAAATCATGAGGGGCTTTAGGAGGGATGAATAGAACAGCCTTGAACTCTACATCACCTTCAGCATTGAAGTGACTCCACGCCATGGGTTTATCTTCACTGAAGTCCTGGTAAAATAACAAATAGATTTTCAGCATATGGAAAACAATGGTCAAGAAACTTACAAGTCTTGAACCACATTTGCATTAGAAGGAAATATATGAACATTACCTTTGCCAGAGAGTGATAGAACTTATTATATTCTTCATCTGTAACTTCCTTTGGGCTTCGAAGCCATATAGCTTTCATGTCATTTAAAAGCTCCCACTCATATGTGGTTTCCTTCACTGTCTTAGTTTTAGGCTTCTTCTCATCTTCGGCCTTCTCTGCATCTTCTTCTTCTCCCTCTTCCTCAGAGGAAGTGCTTTCAGCTGTTCACAACATTGACAGACGATAAGACCACTGACAGAGAAGAAAAGGTAAAGAAGATGGGAAATGAGGCAGCAGACTTTTCTTCTTCCTTTCCTACTCTTATTATGTTTACTTTGTCAGTTTTCACCAGTCCTCGCCCCACTCTTCTCCATACAGAAAGAAAAAGAAGGATGGAATAGCTCATTCAACAAGTATACTACATTCAGACTGAGATTAACTCTGAAACAACACTTCTTTTATAAATAACACAAACAATACTTGGCAAGTCAAGATAGGAGAATCATACATACATGTTTCCTCTTCATCAACTGACTCGTCCTCATCAGCAGGAACTTCCTTCTCAACCTCTTTGCTTGCCCATAAATTTATAGGGAAGTTGATGAATTCAGAATATTTCTTGACCAATTCCTAAAATCATAGCATAGTAGATTAATCCACTTCAAGAGTCGAAACTCAAAACAGGAGTAAACTCCCAAAGTTAGAACAGCAATAACATAGACCAATTTCACAGCAAGAAAGCTAAAGTTATTGCCCATAAATTTATGAATGAATCTAATAGAGGGTGATGGCAACAGAAACCAGGGTTCTTTTTCTCCGTCTAGAAGGGGCTAATTGTGTCATAACTCCAAGATACAACAGCACAAATAGAAAATTCAAAAACAGAAACATCCCAAAGTATTAAGGTACTTCTGTTCAATTCAAAAAATGAAAATTTACCATCAGCCATAAGCTTTTCCATTTACTCATCATGACCCAAAACTTAAGGAGCATGACTGACCCCTTGCTATATTGTTAGACTATGCGCTTTTGTTAAACTTGACAAAAATGATCAAGTGTTAGTAGTAGCAGAATACAGTTTGGTTGAGTTGTTGCCGGAAAAAAATTTAAAACTCTATGTTCAGATGTTAAAAGAGGACCAATAGAAGAGATATATTTTAAGTCATGTCAAAGTCAAGATTATTTATATCCAATTATTACAGCAGTATATAAATTCATGACCTACTATTCCTGATACAAGAGCCATCACAAAAGATAATAAGGGGGTTATTGATGAGTGATGACTCATAAAAGATGAAAACTATGACATGTACCCATTCGTTAACAATATATGGAGAAATTTTACTTCAGTATGCATCTCTGTCTACTCACCTTTAGTTTGAGCTCATCCAAATATTCCCCTGCTTCATCTCTTAGATGCAGTCTAATTTCAGTTCCACGGCCAAGAGGTTCATTCCATGTATCTTCAGAAATGGCAAATGCCCCATCTGCCTTTGATTCCCAGACATATCTGTACATAGATATTAACAGGCAAGTATTACATCACCAGTAACTTTCAATCAAAAAGAAAATAAATGCATTCACTCCAACATACTGTTTGTCGTCATTGTGCTTGCTGATGACTTCAACATAGTCAGCCACAAGATACACAGAGTAAAACCCAACACCAAATTGTCCAATCAGGTTAAGGTCACCACTTGTCTGCATCTTCTCGACAAAAGCTGTATAGCAATAATAACTGTAAATAGATGTCCACAATCTGAAGACAACTAGGTGAACATGAAGTCAAGAATAAGAAAGTACCTGAAGTTCCAGATTTAGCTATGGTTCCCAAATTCTTTCTTAGATCCTCCTTGGTCATTCCAACACCTCTGTCGCGAATGGAAAGAATTTTCTTTTCTTTATCAAGTTTAATCTGCAATCCATGAAATAGCCACAATTAAAGGAGCTCAAAAAGAAACTCTCAATGCATAACCAACAGATATTTAGTAATTCAATATGATACAAATCACTAACCTGAATCTCAAGCTTAGTATTATCACCCTCACCAAGAACCTCCTTGTCAGTGAGTGCAAGGAACCTAATCTTGTCCAGTGCCTGAATCAAACAGCAAATAATTTCAGAACAGAACTTCTACCAATGATGTGGAAGAACAGACACCAAAATGCACACTTACATCAGAAGCATTGGAAATCAGCTCCCTCAAAAAGATGTCCTTGTTACTGTAGAGAGAGTTGATAAGGATGTCCATAAGACGAGAGACCTCAGCCTGGAACTCAAACTTCTCCGCACTAGCTCGGAGAGTTTTCCTTGACATAGACTCAGCTTCCCTAAATCACGTAATAACACAGTACTTAATATTGAATGAACAAATGAAACCACAGTAAACAGATGAAATGAATTAAAAGCAGTTCACTAACCTCTTAGCCACATCAGAATCAGTCGATAAACCATTAGGAACAGCACCAAACTTCTCCTCAACCTTTGGTGGATCTACTGGTGCATCAGAATCAGCTTCTGCATTTGCCTGTATCTTTCGACCTATCAAGTACAACCACACACTTCTATGTAAGCAAATCACACAAGTAGTATGTTGTACCAAATATCAAGCAGCACCAGATCAATAAAAGCCTCACAAAATTGTTAAACTGAAACAGCTAAAACTATGAAATCCAGTACAATCTACTCATGGAGTACTGGATCTAGCAACATTCATCTAAGCATCTATAATACTCCTTAAGATCTCTACTCGATGTGACTACTCAACACACAGAATCTCGGCAATTGAATTAAAAATTCACATGATTCTTAAGGAAAGTCATATTATAAGCATTTTCACGACAAAAATTGCAGTTATTGCAGTAGAGTTCCGTAAGATCTCAACGCGATATATCTACTCGCAACATAAAATTAAATCATCCGACACTGGCGAAATGTCCGACATATGGAAAAAGCCCTAATCTTCGACAATGAAGTTCATACGAGCATAAAATACATCAGAAAGCTTAAATTAAGGAAGATATAAATCCTAACTCACCTTGATCTGGAACAAGGTAAATCAGGCATAACAGAAACAGGACGAACGGGATCTTCCACTTCCTCATTGTCTCCGTCACCGGAATTTCAACTTTAGAGGTCGCCGGCCGATGATTTTACAAGCAGCGTTCAAAGTAGAGTGTTGATCTGGAGTTATGCTTCATATCCGGAGAGTGTTTATATAGTGAGCTTCAGTAGGTGGGGCCCTGGAATGATGTGTCAAGTACCACCACGAGATCTTACGCTCTGATTGGAGCAATGTTGCCAGCGTGGATGATCGGACGGGTATGGTAGAGTTTGTGATTACGTGGCGGATTTTAATTGGTTCTTCTTACTTCAGCAGACGTGGATAACCTGGAAATTTCCAAAGCTTCAAAGGAAGACTTGAAGGGCGACCCCAAATCCTACGTTTATTATTTTCGCTTTCACATTGACCTATGTAATCCTAACTTTTTTTATCATTTTAAATTTATAGCTTTTGTGGAAATTATCTAGTACAATTTATATTTTATTTTATGTGATTTACAAGTTATATCATATTAAAATATTTATCGAATGTTCATTTCAAAGTGTGAATACAAGGGCAGAAATTGTGAATTAGATATTGTTAAGTGGTTGCTGATTACTTTAGAGTTTCAAAAATAAAATAAAATTGTAGCTTTATTGAATTGAATGACATGTGTTAATTATTTTCATCGTTGACTATTTTCTTAAAAAAAAGATCAAGAATAAATATAATTAAGAGTAGTAAAGTGAGATATTTCACTTGTTAAAATCTATTAATTACCTTTTTTTTTAGTATGAATACATATAAAAAAAATTTGATCCATATACATAGGCAATGGATTTATTAAAATTTGGATAACATAAATTTTACGAGTTTAGTAATTAATCATTTTTTTTTATGTGAGTATGCAATATTACAAGCCTATTATTTTTCGTACATCAAATAAACATATAGATACATGTAGCTCAAATACATATAATTAATTGTATTGAAATAAAAAGTGTAACTGAAATACATGTAAACTAATTAAATTTATATAATTAAGTGTATTTAAATATGAGGAATCACGCATATAACATAACATATTTGGAGTATCTATGGCTCCTAAAAAAATATTTAAAAGTTTGAATTTTTGTGTATTCTGTCTGTTCATTATATGTATCTAAACTATTCTTTTATGTATCTAACGTTTTTGTCTATGTATTTGATACATACTTAATGATTAGGCATATTTGATATCTTTATTATATAAGAATCATATAAACTATTAAAAGTAATAATATTTTTAGTTGTTCAAAAATAGAGATTAAATTACTATACATGATATTGATGTTAGATGTATGTCTATTTACGTAGTTTTTCGATGAATAACTCTCTTTAGTAATTTACTTGCATTTTTACATAACCAAATATTCGTATGCAAACTAATTTTTGATGATAACGAAGACAGAAGAGAAACAACTATACTTAGGAGTGTTTGTAGTTCGGTTTGGATCGGATATTGATTAAAATCAAAATTAAATCAATTTAACTGGGTTTTTTAATTTCTAAAACCAAATCAAATTAAACGAAAAAATAACCATCGGTTTGGTTATTGTCGGTTTGATTCGGTTTTTCTGATTTATTTGGTTTGAAAGTAATAATTTTTTTGAGGATGTACATATCTGGATAGACACAAACACCAAGTACAAACAATCTACGAAAAAACTAATGTCGGTTCAGTCAAGCAATTAAGCAATATTATAGTTATCATTACACGAACAAAGTGATTCATTTAAGAGAAAATGTAACTATTTTATGTGAAGTACAGTAAGTAATGACTAAAATGGATTTTGATGGAATTGGATTTGAAATTATTATACCTTGGTTAAAGTTTTAGGCTTGAAAAAAATGGTAAAGTTAAAGACTTGAGTTGATTAAAATTTAACAAAATATTTTAAATTTATTTATGAATTATATATAAATAATTATAAAAATTATATATATAATTTATCGGTTCGATTTAGTTATTTTTGCGGTTGTTTTTTAGTAAAACCAAAACCAAACCAAATAGTATCGATTTTCAAAATTTGAAAACCAAACCTACCAAACTAAATCAGATATCAGTTTTTTTTAATCGGTTTGGTTTGGATTGTGATTTAGTTTAGTTGTTAACCATAACCATAAATAGCCCTAACTACACTTAATAAGAGATAACATTTAACGTTTCTAAATAATTTAATAAATTTGCATCTAGTGAGTTGATCTTTAAAAAGATGAAAAATTTCAAATTTAAGTTATTCTACATAGTAATATAGATGAGCATTCAACAAATAGAATCAAATTATGTGACCAAAATTTTTGATAGAGAACACTTGTTTTGATGTTTGTTAACAACCAAAAATGCTTATAAACAAAGTCTTTATAAGTCAAACTTCGCCAAAGCCATAGTTCATTTTACAATTTTATCGATAATGTATATTTTTTAAAAGTTAGAGAGGCTATTCCACGATTCAACAAACTATAAGGGGGAGTTTCGACGTTAATGAAAATAATTTACTATTGATGTCTAGGTTATACGAATTCGGGTCAAAATTCTTAAACCCTGCAACTCAATGCACAGATTCTTAAACCCTCACAAAATCAGCAGTCATCCAGGTATCAATGGCTACCGATTTCTCGTTTGAACAACCCAGCGATGAAGAAGTTGAATATGAGGAGAATGATGACAGTGAAGAAGAAGAACATGAAGTGGATGAAGATAATGAAGATGCCGACCCCAAACCTCGAACGAATAAGAAGCCGCAATCTCCATGGGACTTCTCTTCTTACTCTGAATCCGTTGCTGATGAACACAGCCACCGTAGAACAACTTCAATTGATTTCAAAATATCTAAGGCTCGTCAACAACTCTCTGCTCCTATAGCTAAACCAATCGAGGAAGATTCCGATTCCGACGATTCAGAACCTCACCGCCAGGTAAAACTGCTTACTGTTGCTCTAAAGTAACATCAGTGAAAGAGAGCTTTAATTTGTTCGAAAAGTTTGAATTTTTGTTGTTGAACTTTAATTTGTTCTGATTATGTTATTGGCAATATTTGAAGCTTAGTTGCTTAATTCTTTGGATAATTTCAGGAAGAGTACAGACCCGACGATGAAGATGGAGATGATGACGTAGATACGCATGTTGAAAAGAAACCATTTTTCGCCTCATCAGAAGGAGTTACATTTCATGCAAATTCGTTTATTGAGCTCCATATCTCTAGGCCGTTGCTTCGGGCTTGTGAAGCATTGGGTTACAGTAAGCCTACCCCAATTCAGGTGTCTTTCCTTGGCAGACTTTGAATGTAATTTATTACCATGAACATTGTCTGCATCTCTACTCTTGTGTTAATGTGTAGTACTTTTATGTAGGCGGCTTGCATTCCACTGGCTTTAACCGGTCGAGATATATGCGGTAGTGCTATAACAGGATCTGGAAAGGTGCAATTTTTTCATGTTTGATCCTATCTACTTATATTTAGCTAGTTGTCTTCGTTGGTTATGTTATGATGTATGCTCATTTTATATTCCTTTTGTCTCTTCAGACAGCTGCCTTTGCCTTACCGACACTCGAGAGACTGTTGTACCGTCCAAAAAATAGGCCTGCAATTAGGGTTCTTATTCTTACTCCAACAAGAGAGTTGGCTGTTCAGTAAGTTTCCTATTCTTTTTTAATAAATTTGTGCGAGAGTCATGAATGCTGCTTTTTCCCAACCTTGTTTTGTTCCCATTCATTATATATTCTGGTGTTTCCACTACCAGTCTACCTGTGTGTCAAAGTAGGTCCCCTTTTTTGTGTAACTGAAACTATTATCATTTTGCATCTGACTCCTGAACTGATAAAATAACTTATTTGGATTCCAAATTGCAGATACATTTTCTGACAAAATGAAATTCCATCCAGGAATACAGTGAACATTGATTCTTCAATGTTTATATAAGCTTTCTATGTCCAAACTTGTAATTTTATTAGTACAAATTTAGAGATGGAATTGTTTGCCCCTTGAATGAAAATTATATTCTACTTTGCCCCTAATTTATATACAAGCGAACTACCTTTTCTTTTGTATTGTATGTCATTGATTCTTCTCAAACCCTAATAGTTATTGACTGCTTTATGTCTTAATTGTGCTATCCAGGGTTCATAGTATGATAGGTAAACTTGCCCAGTTTATGCCAGATATCAGATGTTGTTTGGTTGTTGGTGGTCTGTCAACCAAGGTATGCTTAGCTCTTTCTTGATCCTTCCTAGGGAAAGCTTGAAGGTTGAGTTTGTGTCTCAGCTACTGCTTCCTACAATTATGGGAATACTCTATTTCAGGTGCAAGAGGCAGCCTTGAGAACAATGCCTGATATTGTCGTGGCCACTCCAGGACGTATGATAGATCATCTACGGAACTCCATGTCAGTTGATTTGGATGATCTTGCAGTATTGATTCTTGATGAGGCCGATCGTCTACTGGAGCTGGGTTTCAGTGCTGAAATTCGTGAGCTGGTAAGTCTTCAACATTGTGGTTTCCTTTTCTATAGAACAAGTTTTTGTTGTGTATGCATATGATATCATAACTATCTTAATAAATAACAGAATTGTACTTTTTTCAAATTTCAATAAACTTCCACTCTAATGCTAAGCTATACCTTCTATTCTGCAAGGAACTTTTTTAGTAGTTTCATTTACTGTAAAAACCTTTTTAGGTATAGAATATTACCTCATTGACTGTTTATTGAGTTTTAATCTATAAAGAAAAGGATGTCCAGAAGTTCCTTCCACTTCTGCCAATAATTGTTTTTTTGTTTTGGTGGGGGCTTGTAAATAATATGTCGTGGGCTGTATATAGGTTAGATTGTGTCCGAAGCGGAGACAGACCATGTTGTTTTCTGCGACAATGACTGAGGAAGTTGATGAGCTCATCAATCTCTCACTGAATAAACCTTTGCGCCTGTCAGCTGATCCATCTACAAAACGGCCTGCAACATTGACTGAAGAGTAAGGCATCAGCAAGTTCCACTTTACAATTAATATTTGTTTCCCTTTTTTCTTAAATGTAATCTCAATTGTTAAGTTCTTAAGTATGAAAGATTATGAAACATTGTCTACAGGGTAGTTAGAATACGGCGCATGCGTGAAGGAAATCATGAAGCTGTTCTCCTTGCACTGTGCACCAAGACTTTCACTTCCAAAGTGATTGTTTTCAGGTTTTCAGTTAGCTGTATCTAAAATAGTATTTTCTACTGTGGTATAGTATATTGTGTAGTCCATTTCATCCCCTGTAACATACATTATCTTTCAGGGTATGACTCTTCATAAATGTAGGACATTGCAACATAATTTCTCTTCTTTGATTATATCTTCTGGATTTCCACTTGCCTAATCTTTTGGTCCAGAAGGCTAAATTCTGTGGTTATCTTGGCAGTGGTACAAAGCAAGCAGCTCATCGGTTGAAAATTATATTTGGTTTACTTGGTTTCAAAGCAGCTGAGCTACATGGAAATCTTACGCAAGCCCAGCGTCTAGATGTATGTTCCATCAAGTTTGTTTTCTGGAATCATAAGAATAATTCTGTGGAGAAGTTCCTTACTAATTTTTATGTTTGTAGGCTTTGGAACTTTTCAGAAGACAGGAAGTGGATTTTTTGATTGCAACCGATGTTGCAGCTCGTGTAAGATAATTCTATCCAATTTGTTTTGTATGATTAATCTACGCATGAAGTTGTATAAAGTATGTACTATGCAGTGCTCCCCGTGTGTGTCCTGCTGACATCTGTATTTTTGCTGTGATTGTCAGAGCAGAACTATAATTGTCTTCTCTTATTTTACTTGACTCTTTTTGTTTCCTTTTTCAGGGACTTGACATTATTGGTGTTCAAACTGTTATAAATTTTGCGTGCCCACGTGATCTTACTAGGTAAAGTTGCAACTCTTCTTGCAAATGCCGTCTTTACTGACACTTAATGGCTGTGCTTACAATTTTTTTTAGTTGCCTTATCTTTTGCTGGCTTCATGATTTCTTTTTTTTTTTGTTTTTACTGCTTATATTCCATTTCTTCTTTTGTTTATACTTCTACAAATGTATTCTGATAGTTTGTACAAGTAAACTCATCCCATACTTTATGCAGTCCTGATTTCCTTTTCCCTTGCAGTTACGTTCATCGAGTGGGTCGGACAGCTAGAGCTGGTAGAGAAGGTTATGCCGTTACATTTGTCACAGATAATGATAGGTCTCTTCTAAAAGCCATTGTAAGTATCCGTCTACTCTGTTTCAACATCTTTTAGCTGTGCCTGTTCAATCACTTGTGTCCTAGTCTACGAGTCATTTCATTCTGACTGGTGTGGAATTGTATGTTCAAAATCATTGACCAATTAGATTCTTGGTGTGTTTAGTATCTCATATCTGTTTAGTTCTGTTTAAAGCAGCAATGCATTCTTTCGATTTTGCTTTTTTTTGGGTGATAAGTTCATGATGATATTTTACTTAATCTCATGCATGTTAATTAGGTACTCCTTTATTTGATAAAAAAACGAAGTACTTTTTCAAAATTAAAGTTAAAATAATTGTATCTCTGACTATACGGTACCTGCATAACCATCTGTATTTTTTTTCTATGGAAATGTATTTTAGATTAAGTTAGATAAAACTGCATCTTTGGCACCATTTTACCTATCAATAAGAAATTGTGTTTTTGGAACCATTGGTTGGTTAGATGATTTCGTTGTGCTTGTTCTATTATCCTTTTCTTTTAATCTCTGGTTAAAGCAACGTAGTAAGTGTTTGATTTTCTTTTAAGAGTATGTGCTTATTGACCATTCACTTAATCTCAATTGTTTTGGTCATCAGTCGGGGTATAAAAATAAAAATCATTTTTCTGTCTATGCAAAATCTGGTAGAAGAACCAACTAGATGCACTAACTCCAAATTTTTCTATAGGCTGCTTGATATAAAGATGTGCTTATTCCCCGTCTTCCAAAAAAATAATGTTACAGGTTAAACGAGCTGGTTCAAGGCTAAAGAGTCGAATTGTAGCAGAACAATCTATAACTAAGTGGGCACAAGTGATTGAACAACTTGAGGATCAAGTGTCTGCAGTTATGCAAGAAGAGAGGTGTTATTTCATCACTAACTTTGTACTATATAAGATAACTGAAATTTATTTATTAACCAACTCAAATTTTTGTTACTTCAGGGAAGAGATGGCACTAAGAAAAGCTGAAATGGAAGCAAATAAGGTAATGTATCACAGTAAAGTTGGGACAACCCAACGATGAACAATTGCTTCATGTTGTAGAAGCCTGAAGACACCCTCCCTCTAAAAGATGAAATTCATTAAATAAATGCTGCACGGCTTAGTATGACCGATGATGTGGTGTTTTGACTTTGCAGGCAGAGAATATGATTGCCCACAGGGATGAGATTTATTCACGTCCTAAAAGGACATGGTTTGTCACAGAAAAGGAGAAAAAGCTAGTCCAAAAGGCAGCAAAGGTGATTTTTCATTTTGTTGTTCATCTGGTCTGCATTGCGTTTTATATAATGGCATGAAATCCTGTTCTGTTACTTATGATGCTTGTTCGTTTTGTTAGTCTTGTGACTTGTAGTCTCTTTTTGGTTTTGTCAAAGAACAACGCTTGAATTAAAATATTTTGGAATAATAATATTTTGAATAAAACTTGTGCTGTAATGATTGATTATAATCTTAGCTAATATGCAAATGCCATTCCAGGAGAATGCAGCAGCCAAAGAAAATGGTTCTCAGAGTAAGGTAATGAGTGCCGAACAAGCAGAAGACCTGAAGATGAAGGAAAAGAGGAAGCGAGAACGAGAGGTGCTAGTCATCCTGTGTGCTTTTTGTAATTTGAATGCAGAAATTCTGTTTGATTTTCTATTCATCCTTCTCATTGTTGAGCTGATTATTATAGAAAAATCTGCCGAGGAAGAAAAGAAGGAAGTTGGAGGCTGCTCGAGAGCAATTAGAAGATGAAGATGACTTGGATGATGTAAGTATCTCCTCTTCACTTATTTTCAACCTTGTTGCATATATCCTGTTATCTGAAATAACAGACTGTGTGGTCATCATCGTCTATAGCAATCTGTATATATAACTTTTCCATTCTGTATATTGCATCCTTTTATTTGGTTCAACTGATTCTAACAGCAACAATAACAACAGGGCAAAGACAAATCAAAGAAAGAGAAATCTGGAATTTCCTTAGTTGATCTTGCTTATCGTCGTGCAAAAGCAGTCAAGGCTGTGAACAAGGCAGTTGATGCTGGCAAGATTGTTAGGAAGGCCGGAAATAAACCAAAACCGAAAAGCAGAGCATCTGAATCAAGGACAGAAGAAATGCAGGATATTTTTCAAAATGATACGAGTGAGAGAAAACAAAGAAAACCACTTCATGCCGGTGGAAAGAAGAAGTCCTCATTCAAGAGCAAGTCACGGTACGACTCAAAATTTAAGAACTTCTCCCATATCATTGTTTATTAGAAGATAAATTAGTCCTCTATTAGCTTTCAAAAAGTAGTTTAATCTACGTCTGAAGGCAACGGTGATGTGGACTCTAGCTTTCTCATCATTTTTCTGTATTGGGATATTATTACATTATTTGAATGTGCAGGTACAAGAGGAGGTAAACACTTGCAAAAAACCATGACAATCATCTGGAAATCAAGTTACTGAAACGAGGTAGACTCATCAAACATGACTACCCCATCGTAACAAAGGATGGATTATGTAAACACTTACTCGAGATCTCACTTATCAGATTCCCCCGTGGAAGACAATTTAGTCTGAAGAATTCGCCCCGACTTGTACCAAGACAAGTAGCTTCTTAGAGTGTTGCTGATATTGAGCTTGTAGCTTTATTTTAAGAGTAGGTCCCCAGTTCTTAGTTTCAGTTTTGCAGAGAGTGTATTTTATCTCATTAGTATTTGTTTTGTTTAAGACTGAGTACTCGATGCATCTGTACATGTATTCGATTTTGACAAATATTTACGATATTGTTGCTAATATCTTCACCAAAATGAATTCTAATTTTCTCCTTGTCGTTTTTCATTAAAAATAATAATTAATTAGTGTATTTTCTTGTGAATATTTTATTTTTTAAATAGACTGTTTTATTAGCGCTTAAACATGTACTTTGTGTTGTCACCCCTTCTTAAATAAAAAACTAAATTTAAACTGTGTTTTAATTCAAAATTTATTTTGTTAACTATCGTCATGATTTGGTTCTCGTGATATAATCTCCGCATTTTTATGATCCTAGTGTTACTGTAACTTGTTCGGGATCCTTACGTTGTTCACGACTTAAAAAGAAAAATATTATCGTCCTTTATTTGATTAATTAGGACATTAGGTGGTTTTCGAAACCGACATTGAAGGGATTAAATTTGACTCACGCATTATGAGGTCCATTTGAATATGGTGCAACCAACAAGATTTTCTCAGTTTTACAGCATTTCAAGGATCTATTCTTTCTTATGAAATTGTTAAATTTATGTGATATTATTTAATCAAATGTCGAAATCTATGAAATAAAGGAAGACTTTATTATATTTATGATTAAACACTCGTTAACATGATTTAAATTAACAATTTGTATTATCCTTCTTCCCCTAAGATAGTCAGGGATACACCGTTCAACCGAATAAGGAACAAAGGAAAGTAAAAAACCCTCGATAAGAAAAAATAATTAGTTGCTGTCACCTATCGGAACTCAGATGGGATGTGGAGTACTATTCTATCACAGCGAGACAGGGCAGAATAGAAAGCATTCCCCAGTTACAAGTACTTTTTGTTTGTACCCATTCTTAATTTCTTTTTAAAAAAAAAAACGATTTTCAGATTTGGTTGATATATTAATTTAATTTTTTTTTAAAAAATTATCTCATAATTATTTAATTCTCGTGATATAATATCCATATAATTATAATCCTAATATTAGTATATCTTGTTCAAATCAAGGGAGAAAAATATTTTCGTCCTTCCTTTGCTTAGTTGATGAACATAAACATATAACATAAAATTAGCTCTATAAATTATTTTTAAAAAAAATTTCATCAACAGGAGTCAAGAGCCCGTATTGAAGCCCAGGCCCAAAACCCGAATTTTCTCCAAACTCAACCTCTATAAATTCATTACCTCTTTGTTATTTATTCATTAATGTTGTATAAAAAGACTTCTATTGATCTTACAACCTTAGTTGAATGTTTTATCAGAATAATCATTTTTACTCTTTAAATATTGTATAATGCATCAATTATTCTAAAATATTTATATCATTTGAGAGCGTGGGTAATTGACTTTCAAGGTCCTTGGGACGATCAATTGCCTTAGAGATACTCTTTATCAGTTTCGTGATTAATAACTTTGTCTAGTAATTAACTTCAATATTGTACATTTACCGGTTATTATGGTACTATAAATTTAATACTATCGTTAAATTCATGATTGACTACATTTTCTACTTGAAAGCTCTTATATAATGAGATTTTCACATAATAAAACAAATGTTAACTTCTCAAACTCTTGAAAACATTACATAGGCCCATGTTATTAAATGCAAGTATTTGAAATTTATTTCCTGAGGCCACATATTCATACTCAATACCCATAATAAAGTAATTAAAGGAGTTCTTTTCCTTCTTTTTTTTTTCATGCCCCTTTTATACAACAACTTCAAAAATATAAAGACAAGTCTCCCATTGCACAATTTTTTTTGTTTTCCATACCCGAATAGAGTCATGAGACTCGTGCTCCCGGCCTCAAACTTGACGAGTTTTCAACTATACACTTGATATCCGCGCAATTTCAAAGGGCACGGAGAGTAGTAGTAGTGTTAGTAGACTGAGGAGGAGGATTTGTAAGCATGTGAACCACTTCCCTCATGCTAGGCCTAGCACAACTCTCTTCTTCAACACACATCATAGCAATCTTGAACAAATTGACAACACTTGCAAGAGGGTAACTATGTAGCCTCGAGTCAACGACTGCTAAAACTGAGGCTGCATCAGACGGTTGAGATAATTCGGACATTGTTTTATTCACCCATCTCACTATATCTACACCGTCCCCGAATTCACCTACTGGCTTGTGACCTGTGATAAGTTCCAACAGTACAACTCCAAAACTGTATACATCACTCTTTTGGTCAACTTTCAATGTGTATGCATACTCTGTTTCATATCCAAACAAAAATGCACCTCAGAAACACATTAATTGAGCAATTTAATGTATTGGACAAAAGTTTTAAATAGATTTTGTCCTGGAGCATAGCTTTTAAAATCATACTATTTTTAACCCAAGTTCAGTAAATTCTAAAAGTTCATAGGTCTTGGTAATTGGTACTAAAAGTTAGTGAAATGTATCTTTCATGAAATAGGAAAATGTTGACCAATAACACAGGTGCATAAAAGGACTTAAGAGTCTATTTTGCTCGGATTCTTCAAAAAAATGATGTTGCATTACTTTTAGAGGATCCGACATGTACCCTATTTACATTTTTTAAGACTTTGAGCAACATAGCTTAAGGTTATATGCACAATAACATACAAACTTTATAGTATCATCATAATTTAATCTATTGTAGCAAGTTATTAGTATCATATTTTAAGATTATCATTAAATTTTACATGCAACTACATTGTATGCGATCTAATTGTATAAATATGATGACCATATGAGCCAGCAATAAAAGAAAACTAATACGGAAATTCAAAATTGTATAAATATGATAAATATTGTAACCGTAGTAGTTTACCTGGAGCAATGTAACCATATGAGCCAGCAATAGAGGACATGCACTCTGATGCACCAGCATCCTGCAAGAATTTGGCGAGGCCGAAATCAGCAACATGCGCTTCGTAATCGGAATCCAGCAGAATATTATTGGACTTGACATCTCTGTGAATAATCGAAGGTGAACAATCATGGTGCAAATAACACAATCCTTTTGCAGCTTCCACAGCAATACGGTACCTTGTCTCCCATTTCAAATGTGCCCCTTTGGCACCATGTAACATTTCACCTAAGCTCCCATTTGACATGTATTCGTACAACAACAAGTTTGTGTCTTTGTTTGAGACATATCCCAGTAATCGTACGATGTTTCTGTGCCGGATCCTTCCTAGTGTTTGGATTTCAGCTGAGAATCCGTGATCATGGTGTCCGGTTCCTCGGCCTACAAGTTTCTTTATTGCAACGTCGATGCCATTTGACATAGACCCTCGGTACACAACACCAGCTCCACCTTTCCCAATTATGTTCTCCTCTTTTAAACACTCCAAAACATCGTCAGCTCTGAAATCAAGTTTCTGGAATGCTGTTAACTTCCAAAGTTGCGAATTCTTGAATTTCTCCTTCTTGATGAACAGCACGGTAACTGCCAACAGCAATGCAACAGTGACTAAGATGATTATTGTAATCACCAATTGGGTAGTTGTGAACTTCCCGGCATGGATTTTAAGCGCGTTTTGTGGTGAATTGGAAGCTGACGGGCAAAAAGTAGCATGAGGCGAGCAGAGTTTTGGATTTCCTACAAAGTAAGTGTCATTGAAGAACTTAAGTTGTCCGTTGGTCGGTCTCCTTCCAGAGAGATCATTGTAAGAAAGATCCAAAACTGTCAAGCCATTCATCACTCCGACTTCTCCAGGAATGGCGCCACTCAGTTGGTTTCTTGACAAGTTCAGCGCGTTCAAGCTATTTAACTTGGTGATTTCTTTTGGCACTTCACCAACCAGTTGGTTTCTGCTCAAGTCAACCAGTGTTAGCTCTGAACAAAGCGCAATTGAACTCGGGATTTCACCTGTTAAATTGTTGCCACTCAAGTTGATGGTCACGAGTTTATTCAAACTCGCAATTTCTTGAGGAATCTCACCAGATAATCTGTTCACATCAAGTGACAGAGTGACTAGATTCTTCAAGTTCCCTAATGATGGAGGAATGTTCCCCGTGATCCAGTTGTTGGAAAGTACAAGTTTAGTGAGATTGTTCGCGTTTATCTCCGTTGGCAGCTCACCAGTGAAATAGTTGTTGTCAAGTTCAAGCATATCCAATGCAGGTAACTTGAAAAAACCAGCTGGAATAGTACCATTTAAGTAATTCTTCCTAACGCGAATTCGAGTAAGCGATTTGCACTCACCAAGTTGTTCAGGAATTGGGCCAAAGAAGTAATTCTCCATTAGAATCAGTGTCTTTAACTTCCCTCCTTTACACAAATCAGGTGGTATCCTTCCAGTAAAATGATTAATAGAAATATCCAGAAACAAAAGCCTCCCGTTTCGCCCAAGATTTTCGGGCAATTCAAGAGTAAAATTGTTTCCCCAAATCTGCAACACTTCAAGATTCGGAAGGTCACCAATAAAAGAGGGAATTGGACCATGCAAGTTGTTTCTAAACAAGTTAATCAATGTCAATTTCTGCAACTTCACAAAACTCTCTGGTATTTCTCCGGTCAGTTGGTTAAACGACAAATCAAACGACATCAAACTCTCTAAACCAGATAGTTCAGAAGGTATGTGACCTGTAAATCATAAATGAATCCAAGATTTAAGTTTTACGAATTCAAGGTTCTAAAATTTATCAGATGCATGACTCCAAAACTTTATATACATAATATTTTGCACATATACACCTATGTTATACAAGAACCTCTCTATTAACACTCATACTCTTAACATCATTCACTATTAACACAGTTTTTCTCAAAGAGACTTTTCATGCTATTCTCACTCCATTCACTTATACAACTATTACTATTGAGTAGTTTAACACAATTTGATGTTCAGTCTAACATCTTTCCTTGTAACAATATTTAACCATGACAACTACTCTATTCGGACAAACGTCGTTATTACAGAGAGATTTGATTGTATAACTAAACAAAGAGTGAGTTCATGAAATACCTGTAAGTCTGTTCACTTGTAGAAACAAAGAATGCAACTTCTTCAAATTTCCAAGACTTGGAGGAACTTCACCATCAAGATTACAATTTCCAAGATCAAGAAGTTTAAGTGTACTAATATTACCAAACTCAGATGGAATA